GAGACATGTGTGCCGTTTTTTTTGTTTTTGTTTTTTTGTTGTTGTTGTTGTTGTTGTGGTGTTTTTTGTCCCGGTCTTGTTTGTTTGAACATGTGGTTGTTCAGTCTGTTTGTTTGTCAGCCTGTTTGTTTGTTTGTTTGTTTGTCTGTTTTTTTTTTTTTTTTGCTTTTGTTTGCTTTTGTTGGTTGGTTGGTTGCTTGCTTGGTTGGTTGGTTGGTTGGTTGGTTGGTTGTTTGTTTGTTGGCTTGTTGGTTGTTTTGTTCGTGCGTTTGTTTGTTGTCTGTTTGTTGGCTTGTTGGTTGGTTCATTCGTGCGTTTGTTTGTTAGTTTGTCTTTTTTTAGTCTTCCAATGTGAAATGGCATGTTTCCGGAACCTGCACCACCATCCTTGAGCGCATGTCATGTCCCTTGCATCCAAGGCGACTCGACCTCGCAATGTGCTTTCCTAATATCCTGCACAGATTGCACCAAGCTGGAAGGAATTCACTTGTCCCGAGGGACTAAGCACAACACAGGTCAATGTGAGTTGCCTTTGCCACTGTAGGATCCCAACCTTCCAGGCAAATCGTTACAATTCACAAAGCGGACAGAAGCGATCTTTGATCACTTTCACCCCCAGAGGTTCTGACTGGGCGGTGACCGCAGCCGCAGGCGTACGTGTAGCATGCCAGGGCCCATTTTGTGGGGACCCATTCAAAGGGTCACCCAGACAAGGTTGGTTTGAAGATGCTCCCTAGCCTGCCTGGGTTTGGTCTCGAACCACCCAATGAGGGCTTCCAAACATGTTGCCAATAAAAGCATGTGTTGGCGGTTGGAGGATTCCACGGCCGCTGAGGTGGGGGTTTATGACATCTGCTCAAATTGCAATTGACATGCGCTTTACAAAATCAAGGACAAGTCCGGGTACCAAGGCAGGTGCATGTCTTTTCGTGAGACGGCACCATTTCGGCCCGGGAGGCATCGCAAAGTGGCCAACCCACTTAACCCTTGTATAGATGCCGAATGAATCAAGTTTAGCCTAAACTAAACACCTGAGACTATCTAAGGGATACCCGTCTCGCGGGAAGCCTGGAGCCGCAAGAGGGCGTGTAAATCCAATCGCCCGCTCGGCCCATTCAAAGTGACCAGATGAGCACTGTCTCTTGCCAGGACAGGACATTTCAAAGTTTGCCCCATGCATGGTGCACGAATTTGGCCCAATTGGCCAAACTGCTTCCCTCAAAAGAAGCGACTTCGGGAACCCTCACCCCCCACACCCATCCCCCCCACCCCCCTCACGCTTAAGGTGGGGGGATGCTCTAATTCTTGCAACGCGGAAGAAGCTTCATTTCCAATGCGTTTTCTTTTTTTTTGGGGGGGGGGCATTGGGAGGGAAGGGTACCCTCCCACCAATTCACATGGAACCAGATGTTTAAAAGGAAAATGGTCCAAACCAGGCCCGGTTCCATGTTCATCGGGAAGGCCAACTCGCTTTTGTTTCCAGAGCCCTATTTCGGGTTTAGAGTGCCGAAATCCAAACAATTGACAAAGGTTAGGGGACAGATATGGACGTGGGTCAACACCAATGGTACCATTTTGGGGTAGGTGCACCACCCATGGGGGTACGATTTGGGTTTTGACCCATGGCCATATGGTTGGGTTTCCCTTAACCGAGTTGGCCTCCTCCGAGCCCTTGGACGCGGCAAAGGCTACGCGGTGTCCTCGTACCGCCGGGCGGCGGAGGCCTGGAAGCGCGGAGCCATGGACGCGGAGGTGGCCCCGTTGCGGGTGAAGAACCCCGCACAGGACATCTGGTGGCATTTGGCGGCGTTGTTTTGTGCTCTTTCTTTTTTTGCTTTCTGCGTCTTCCATCTCTTTTGTTTTCGATTGTTTTTGTATTTGGTTGTGGTTTTCTCTTGTGTCTTCCTCTTGTTTTCGTCATCGGTTTTGTTTGTTGTTTTTCCTCCTTTTTGCTTGGAGGGGGGGGGGGGATGGGGCTTTCCACTACTTCTTTCTTGGGGGGAAGTCCCAACAAAAGGCGGGCTTCCCCGTGGCACCTGGAGATCCTCACCATGGAATTGTGGGTTGCGCCCTGAGTATCCTTATTTATATCTACGTGGGTTTGCATCTGACTTGTCTGGATCCACCGTAGAATATTCAAATAGTCACCAACGTAGGACCAACAAACAGCGCTTCCACACCATCACGCCGCTTTCTAGATAGTGATCGCGTTCAAGCGTGCCCTCCAAACGGGTGAATCAATCGCCTATAGCCATCTTCGCAGGAAGCCGTGGGTGATGGATGCTGTCTTCCAGACCCTCCATTTAACATAAGGCTACCTGATCTCCATGGACCAAGATAACAAGGGTAGAAACTTGGTCAGCGAGTGGCTTTTTTTTGGTTCCCCGGTACCGCGGGCCAACTTTCTACCATGTGCCAAACGTGTCTTTGGAGCAACCCTGTTAAAACCCAATCTTTTTACGTTCCAAGAGAATAGGCCAAAAGGGGATGATGGCCTTTCCAGGCCCCGTGGAGCCACTGGGATGTTAATACTTTTCTTTATTTCCCACCTAGAAATAAAATGCCGAGCTCGGTTTCTGACCCTTTCAGAATGAGGCGTTCTCAGCTTTGTTCTCTATGGCTATTTGGTAACATATTTTTGGACTTCAACATTTTGGGTGAAACCGATGCGATTTTGAAGCTCACTTTCTGAGTTCCTGGACTATTTCTGGGGAAGACCAATTTTGGTAAATCAACAGTTCGGACTTCTTTTGGCCAATCCACTGGGATGTCAATAGTTGTGTAGTCCCCAAGTAGGAAAGGGCCGCGTTGGGATTTCCAGGCCCGTTCAGAGGAGGCGTTCTCAGCTTTTGTGCAAGCACACACATAGTGACAAAATAGTTGCTTTCCTTTTTGGCTTCCCTTGAAATACCCGCCAATATAGGGAGCCCCAATTTTTCCTGGAACTCAACAGATCGGGACTGCGATTTCACCTTCAGGGTCATGTCTCTCTTGTACTGACCGAAGCTGTGCTATGGCTCTAGTTGATCGGGAGTTTGCAAGGACGGCCTGGAGAAGCGGACCTTGATCTTCTCCGTGGACGAGGAGTACAGCCGCCTGAAGCTGGACTCGGCACGTCATTTGCCCCCGGCGCCCTGACATACGACCAGTATTCGGTGTTCGGGCACCTCACTGCCTGAGTTCCTGGCGTTTCTGTAAGATGGGTGCTTTTCACCTCCCTGAATATAAAGGGGGTCTTTTTGGGAAGACCTTTCTTTTTGTTGGAAGGCTATCTTAGCGATAAACAAGACTTCGGCGGTTTGTTGGGCAACCCACTCGGTCGGAGGTGAGGCACTGGGCGAAAGTCGCCCAAAAACAGGGGAGGCAAGTAGGGAACAGAATCGATTCCCTACAAAACATGGTTTGGTGTTCGTGAAAAACCCTTTCCGAATAAAAGGTCGTCTTCCAAAGCGGTTCTGTGTACCTCCACGTTTGCTGGTAGGAGATGGAGGGTAGTTCCGTTCAGTCCTCCGTGGGCCAATGCGGCTGCGTCAGCGCTGACGGACCGCTGGCAACCCTCAACATTTTGTGTGGCCGGGTCTTCATTATCTTATGCGAAGGCCCCACAATAACAGTGAGCGCTCTTGTGACCTGTAAGTTCCCACCCCTCGAGATTGGGGAGGTGTTGCGTTGGGATAGTGGGATTTGCCCTTCGGGCCCTTGGCAACGTACCATCCGTGTAGGCCAAAATTGCAACTTTGTTTTTTAAAGAGTGCTAAACCACGGGCTAGAGCAAGTTGAACTTCCATTTGCTCGGCTGTGCTTTGGCTGAGCCAACCACTGGCTGCTGCAAGATACCATAACAAATGCACATTGGGCACAGGAATGGTCATAGCCATTCCGATCAATTCAAGCCCATCAGTGCCTACCCAGACCCGTGTCATGAATGTCCACGTGGACCTATTCCGTCGCAATTGTTTGCCTTCAGGTTTGCCACACACAATAGTGCTGGAATGTTGGACAGAAGCCTGAGGCCGCGCCAGGTTCAACTTGGGGATTCTCTTCAGGTTGCCTAGGACTAGGGGGGTGACAAGGTTCGTTGCCCAAGACTTGGGCTGATTGAAATATTCAAGAAAGCCACAAGAAAATAAACGTTGGGGCTCCTCCAAAACTACTTGTTACAACGGTAGGGTAACTGTGAAACAGAATCTTATTGTTGGAGTACCCCAGATGGGCCAAGCTGTCGTCTAGGTCTTTCAGGAGGAAGGAACTATCACCTCCGCCAACGCCTCCTCTTTGAACGACGGTGCCGCGGCAGTGGTTCTTCTCAGCGAGGAGCCTTCTAGCGGCTAAGCGGGCAGGGCAGATGGAAGCTACTGGAAAATTTGGGCAGTGCATTATATGAAACCCACCTGTTAAGTGAAACAAATGATTACCCTGGTGCAGGGGAATGAATTAATACATATATATATATATACATCATTATTATTTGTTTGTATATTTTTAAACATGGGAGACTCCCTTTTATTGGGGTACGCCCTCCCACTTTCACACATTCACCAGGAGAACAACTGGAAACAGCCGCAGTTGGGCGGGGGCAATGATGTGGCATCGAACTGCAGCGGATCCTGATCATTCCGGCCAATGAAATGGGATCCCTTAGGCGTTCTGGGCTTTACATGTAGCTAAGTGGTAGGCGACTCCCCAGCCAACCCCCTTTCCAGTTTAGCCAAATCCCACCTCTCAGGTGGCTGGGGCCTCACTACCCCCTTTTTATATCTTACGTCTAACCTGCTTGGATGACTGGCCAGACCATGTACCCCGGGTGATCCTACTGGTAAATGAGGTTGAAGCAAAATGCAAAATCGGTATGTGCCCATCATATACGTATTTGGGTTTTGGATTGTGCGGTATATTGCAGCCGCGGACCTGGGGAGGTTTGAGCCAAAGCCCATGAGAAGTGATCCTCCCCCTCCCCGTCCCCATCGTACTCCTTTGAGATCCATGCCCGTTTTCCCTGGTAGACGCGTTAGGACAAAGCCCGCGAGATGGGGGTGACAAGCCTGGCCCGCATCGCGCCTCGGCTCGGAGTTTCTGGTGCTCATGGCTTTTAACTTCACCGAGCGAACCAGTGTGAACGCATCCGACCCTTGTTGGAAGACGACTACCTTTTTTGGGAGGGTCCAAGAAAAGGTTTCAACTGTGTGAGCTGTACGGCCGAATATCGCTCGACGTCTCCAGGTGTCCTTCGCGGACTTTGGAGTGGAGCCCTTGCACTTTGCCAAGGCGCCCAGCGCGGCGATACGGAAGGCCATGCAGGTGCGCTGGGAAGGACGCCGAAGAGCGGCCATGCTGTAGATGGTTGCGAACTCCATTTCGCAGCATGGCTGATGTCTTTGCAGGGGAATCGATACATGTTCCAGCCAGGGTTTCTTGAGTGGGCAAAAAGAGCCATTGCAGCAGCTTAATATCGACAAAACAGAGCCAGCAAGAACCGTCAAGGGCGACAACCTTCTCCCCCTTGGTAGCTGGTATGGCTCTGAATCAATATTGAAAGGAAGGGGTGGTCGTTACATGGCCTGCCAACTACACTCACCAGCTCTCTAATTCGGTAGGTGGATGATGTTTTGTTTGTTGTGTTTGTTGTGCTTCTTCGGTATCTGTTGCGAAGTTAGTTGTTCTTTGTGGGTTTTCTCTAGGTGTGTTCCCTTGCGCAGGCAGGCCTTTTCAGTTTTGGGGAGTTCCATGGGGCCTCCCATGGGGCTCCCATACCCTTTTTACACAGTTTACATGGTTTGTGTGAGCAAGGTGTAGTTGTGGACTGTTTTGTGTGCACTTTGGACATGCTTTTGCTTGTGATAGGTGGGGACAAAACAAAGATGAGCTTGCTGCCTCCCTGCTGACGATGGAGGTCGCATGGCTGCTGCTTTTCCCCGGTTGATTTTGTTTTACAAGAAGGCGTCATGACTCAGGCAGTTTTCTCAGCTAAGAGCCACCTGCTTCGTGGAAGGCTGTGCGAGTAGCATTTGAGCGGCTTTGGTCGGGGTGCCGAAGTGACTTGCACACGTTCTGGGCAACAGAAGCTTGACGCTCGATGCTGAAATTCGGAGCGGAGAGAGGTCTCTTTGGGTTTGCCGTTTTGTCCATATGGGCTTGGTCAATGTATTCGGGTTCCGCCTGCTTGTGGGCTGCGAAGATCTTGCGGAACAGAGCCTGAACCAAAGTTTCCACTCCCCCATGTGAATCACGCAAGACAAGCATGCCAGATGCTGCCGGCATACTTTTAACAACAGGGAGGGCAATGTTGGCCTTTACGCTTCGGAAGCCAATCAGCAGATATCAAACTGTTCAGTTTTTGCACGGGCCTAAGTCCGGCCAAGAATTGCGCAGAACGAGGCGGGAATTTCATCAGGGAGTTGCTTCCGAAAGTGAAGGATTCCCTGCAAAGCTTATTCTGCAATGTGGATTTTTTAAAGGATGCCATAAGTGGATTATCGTTTTCCCTTCATCCTGTCCCTCCAAGAGCAGAGTCTGGGAAACCCCCTTTTACGGGAACGTCCCTTATCTTTTCGTAAACTCTAGGGTTCGCTTTGGATGCTAAATCCTCCTGCGGATTCCTCTTGAAAAGTGCTGCGTGGAGAACAACATGTATGGTGGAAGTTATGCATGTGCAGAATCACGGAACTTGCGCTGATTAATTGACTGGGTCTGACCATGTTTGGTAAACCCCTGTTGGGGGACCCCGTCTGCTTTTTGTGGGAGCCGCCTTTCCAGTGGAAAGCTGGGGACCCTTTTGTTTTCCAACCCCAGCCTGTCATTTAGGCCCATTTTCCAAAAGGTCACATGGACGTTAAAGCAGGTTTGAGATTGGAGCAACAGGATCCCCTAAAGTTACAGGCCACTCAACACCCAAACATCTCATCAAAACAGGTTTGAGTTTCGAAGTTGGAAGCAGGAACGGGTCTGCAAGGAACACAAGCGATGGGTTCCCATCAGTCATGGGACACAACCAAAAGCCTGCAGGCGGCGCGCATGAACTCGGTGAACTTTTATGAGATCCACGAGTCCTTCGCGGCGGCGACTGAGCTTCACCAGACCCTAGTTATTGCTTCGCGCCAGCCTGTGGTCTGCTGAAACACGCGATCGAGGCAGGTAAGTGTTGAAAGAAAGCCTGGTGAGATATCTTATCCACTGAACGGAGACTTGTAACCCTGGTAAGTGGTTATAAGTTATAAGTTATAACAATGGCTACTAACCACTTACTAAGTACAACGCCCTTTTAAGTGGCCTGTCGTCTCAGTTGTCGTTCTTTATTCGTTGCTGGATTCCCCTTCGCCTTAGGATCAACGGTCGATGCCCTAAACCTTGTAAGGGAACAATGGAACTCTCTGATCAACGGTGCGTTGTTATGGTTTTTGTTTTGTCATACTGTGGATGGACGAAATCCTGCACCACTGTCAAACCATGGGACACCAGTATTTGTTGGTATTTACAGGGAAATCGAATCATTCCAGGGTTTCTTGGGTGGTGCAGGATTTCGGCCATGCACTCACAGTATGGTGGTTCACTCGCCATATTCACGGCATCCACTGAACCAGCAACAAGTGCTGCATGCCTGGGGTGCGCCCAGCTTTGACCCTGAGGGCTTTGCACTGGTTGGACCCCGGGAAGTTGCGCCTAACGTGGGGGGAGCTTGGCTTATGACCGCACCCATGTTGAGACATCCTGAACATGATCCGCAAAATGGTGGTTGACATGGGGTGCCCCCAAAGCTCACTTTGAAAACCCCGCAAGATGCCCATTTCCAGGAAGGTGAACGCGATGCGAGATGCCATTCTCTCGAGGTTGTGCTGGCCAACATGTCGCTTCTGGACTTGGACATCTCGCGCCTGGGCAAATTGAATGGATTAAGGGGCGGCTTAAGGAGAATGAACTTGAGTTAGAGCACGATGTTTGGTGTAGCCCAAGATAGCTTCGTGTGTTTGCAATTTTCTAGTATTTTGCAAGTAACACACCGACAATCGGTTGCTACATGTTGGCAATTGAACTAAAGGGAACTCAGAATGAGTGGTGAAGCTTAGAGCTAAATAGATACCCTTGACGTAACCCAGATTGCAAGTGGTTCGTTTCCCCCTTTGCTTTGAGTGCTGGGACCCGTAAAAGGGAAACCTGGGCCTTCAGTGCTGCCTTTCGCCTTGTTGCCAATGGTGGAACCTCAGATTCAGTTCCCAGGCTCCATGTGCAAAAGTGCCCATGGCCCAGTCCGACTCAGACGAAGGGAAGTTTCAAGCCCTCAGGTGGGTAATTCCAGTCGCTCAGTACCCTGTTTCCTTGTTGGAAACCGCTAGGGCCATCCAAGACCACCCTTGTGTTTACAAGTGTCGTGGGTCGCGATTGCCGTTGACCATGGGACAAAGCGCACCTTCCCAGAACGTATTTTGCAAGGCCAAGGCCAGAAACAGTTGCGCTCTGCTGTGTGTTTTGCTAGAACCTAGAAGGCCATTACAACCCAATTCTGTGGAGGGGTTTGCATCTCGGATTTCATATGTTTTATGGTACAATCCAATCTCGGTCACCGTGTTGCCCTGATATTTGCCAAACAACGCGGGGGTCCACGTAAGCCTGCACAAATGTAGTGGAGAACTCTTGTTTGAGATTTGGGGCAATCCGCTCACGAAGTGTGTTTGGGACAGTTCTCACCTCGGCCAGTATATTTCTGCACACGCCACCCTCCCCCCCACCCCTTGAATGGGGCTGACCAAGGATCGGCAGGTTTGAGACCTCGCGCCCCACAACCCCAGCCCAGAAGGTTCTCAAAGCATGTTTGAGAACTCTTTCAAAGGACCTTCTGCGAGAGCCATACCCGCAGAGTTGCAGACTTTCAGCTTGTGGAAGACAGGTGATGGAAGCCCAAGCCCCGCAAAGGACTTTCCCCAATCCTCAAAGGAAGAGGCCTTTGCTTGGTTTGGACGTGGGGGACGTGGGGGTTTCGCCGGACGGCTGGAGGAGGTGGGTTCGGGGGTGGTTTTGGACGGGGGGTGTGTGTGCTCTTGAGGTGGTGCTGGGGTGGTATGTATAGAAGCCTTTTTTGGCTTGGATGTGTTTAAATCTATAGAACCCTTCTTTGGGGGGATGTGCCCCTTTTCTTCGACCCCGACCAGCTTTCGGAAAGGCAAAGTGGAGGCCAAAAACAGGCTTGGGGGTAGAATAACTTAAGGTCCCCCCCAACTGGGTTAGGGGGATCTGTCACTGCTCTCCCAACAGCAAGGGGCTCTCACTTCGTCAAACCACTCCTCCAAAGCGAGGCGCGTGAATGTCAACGGGGGCGCCGTAGCCTTGGGCGACCCCATGGGCGCCTCCGGCGCGCGGATCCTCACCACGCTGCTGCACGTGCTGACCCAGCAGGACGGGCCCGCTTTTCTCTCTCAGCCCAAGCTTCCGGTTGCTGAATAATATGTATGTGGTTGCTTTTTTGTTGGGTGTTCATGCCTTTGTTGCTTTTACAGGCAAACCTCATTGTATAATACATGTGTTTTAGTGATTATTCTCCCTTGTTGGTTTTTCAATGGAATCGATTTCCCTAGTGGAAACATGTTTAATTGTTTCAGGGGGGTAAGCAAATGGAAGCAAGCGGGTACTTAAAAAGGGCGATCCATGCAGGCTAAGTCTGGCAAGTGGTGAGAGCAAGCCTGGTGAGATAACTTATCCACTGAACGGAGACTTATAACCATGACTGTTGTGGGTTGTAACCAGGCTTACTAACCACTTGCCTCGATGCCCCTTTAAGTACTGGGTCAAAGTTTGGGGACATTTTGAGGTGAACATATTTACACCCTAAGTGTCGGGGTTGCACCTTGTGCAAGGTTGAGTGGCCGATTCCATTTAAGGATGGCTTGGTTCCAGAAGCACGAGGTCTCCGAGTTTTGAAACATGCTTCAAGGTTGACTAAAATTGAAACAGAGACTGAAGCTTCTTGTGTTTGGTGTGCCCTGGGGTCCGACCAAGAAACGAAGCTGCGCACACTATCCTCATGGGAAACTTGAGGATACACATTTATAGTGATGGTTGCCTAGAGATCCCTAACAAGATGTTGAGATAACCGGAAAGCTGCAGATATTTAAAAAAAATCCTGGTCGTGAACACGATTTGATGTTTTCGGTAGTGGATGCTGGAAGAAACGTGAATATACCAGCTCAATATGGGTTGTGACCCAGTAGGACTTTTCCCCGACGTGACAAACTGTTGCCTCGCCAACCATGGTCTAACCACGATTGCCTAGTTTATTGGCGCTCGCTTTTTTGCAATGTGTGGTGGGTGCAAATAGAGGTCCCTTTTCTACCAGAGTTGCTCGGCAACTTGCATCATGTGAGGTCCAGTCAAAATTCCAGTAGCCCATGGTCCCTTTGGACAAAAGTATCACAAAGTCAGAGTCTCACTCATTGTCCACTGTCCTTTGCGGGGGCGGCATATTTCCACCGTGGCGCATGGAAGTGTGTGTAGGGAATCTCCTTGCAGGAAGCCCTTTTGACCCCCTGACAACACGCAAATCAAGGGCAGGGGTTCTGAGTGGGAGCCCTTCTTTTTGGGTCACCCTCCCAGACCGTCGGCAAGGGGAATCCACCCTTTCCAGACTGGGCTATTTCAAGCTAAATCCACAAACCTTGTGCCAGGTGGTCTTGGTTTCCCTTCTTGTACAAAGTGGTGTCCCCTACAAATTATAGATTATACACATGTTGTGCATATGTACACATTACATCTATGCATATATATATATATGTATATGTATACATACGCATGTTTGCACATGTTTAGAGGACGCTGAGACCGGGTGCGCGGCCATTGCCAACGGTGGCGGAGGGGCCACGGCCATCATCATCGAGCGCTTGCAGTAGGTATCAGTGGAAAAGGAGTGTTTGCACTCAAAGGGGCGATCGGGTGCGTCAGTGGAAAGCTCATCCGTCAAAGACTCATTGAGCATACAGTACTTACAGGGGCATTGTACTGAGTACGTGCCTAGTAACCATGGTTCAGGTTTTGTGCCACTTGCCAAGTCCCCTAAGTGGGTTACAAACCAGGTTTACGGACCACTTACTAAGTACCCGGCGCCTGTAAGCAATGAAGGGACGCGACTTGTCGGCTTGCGAGCCAATCATATCTCCCCTTTTCTCAAGGGGCTCTCAGAGTCCTGCTCAACACCTGAGGGTGTTCTAAGGTTGCACCTGGGCCTTTTCGCTGCAAGAGGAGGAACTGGTGTTACACTACACCAATACCGCGGCACCCACGCGCAGACCTCTGAATCCCCCTTGGCATCACATGGGTTATCCCCATTTATTTCCCCAGGTTTGGCAAAGGAACCTGTCAGCGGCCAGGTCCGGCAGCTTGCCCCTTGGCTGCAGTTCAGCTCAACGTGAGCTTTGGCCCAACTTAAGAATGCCTCGATGGTCCCTGAAAGGATGCCTGGTGGAAGGGAGCCGAACTCGGAGCTGGGGGTATCCATGTTTGCTCTTAAACAGGGAGCCTTAGAGAGCTACCAGGAAATCTTGAAGGACATGGGAGTTGGAAGGCTAAACAAGTCGCCTCCTCCAGCTGATTGAGAGGAACAACTTGTAGCGCAGGTTGTTTTGGGATGTATCCCTTACGGAACCCTGTCGTTTGGATTGGGTTTAAACAGGGTTGCTCCGAGCCTGCCCACAGAGTTCAAGGTCTTCCTGGCCCATATGCTCTTAGGGACCAAACTTTCTGGTCTGATTGCAAAATGTCCGAGGTCAGCAATCCCTGCATCCTTCAGTTGCAGCCGCACCTACAAGTGATTTTGTGGCAGGAGACCCGCCAGGAGTGATACTTTCCGGTAGGGCAGTCCTCAGCTTGCCATCGTTCCTGCATAGGGTGGCGGCCTGCACGTTGACATGGAACAAACAACAGGTCCTTGCCCCAAAGGCAGATTCTTGCTCAACGGCTTGTTTTGTTTCGCATTTGCAGCTGCGCACCCATCGGGGACGCCGTTCGACTCCAAGAACTCATACCATCCACCTGATTTTGAGCGCACCCTAAGTTACCAAGTATCCCATGAGGATTCCTGTCACACGGGTTCTGGCCGGGCTCCGAATCGCTAGCTTCCTCTTGCTGGGGTGGGGGCCTTTCCAGAAAGCCGTCAAACTGGTGGGAAGAGGACGGGCAATCAAGAACCCCTACCCAGTAGATCCAATTTTCCAGTTTTGTAGGCAACCAAGGGAACTACCCTTCAAAGACCAAGAAGGAAGATAGCTGGTTATCTGCTGCAAGGCCTGGGATCCAGCGGGCTAGATTTGCTGCTTTTGACCCTGGCTCAAGCTGCCATCGCGTGAGCGATCGCTGGGGGCTGTCGAGTTGGATTCTCATTGTAGGCAACGAGCCCTCGCTTTTCGCAGGGTAAGTCGGGCAAGGAAAATTGGCAGTGTCCTTCTTTCAAGTGCCAAGGAAAAGGGTGCATGTGCAGGGCGGAGTGATGCAGCCATGCTGCTTTTTGCATAGACATCAAGACAGGTGAAGCACATATTCAGGGAGGAAACAAATGCAACCAGTTGCTATGGTTTATTGGTTGGTTTTCTTGTACTGGAATCCCAAGCGCAGAAAAACAATCAGACCCATCCTCTCTTTGCGTGCAGCCCGATTCGAGCCAAAACGCCCGAGCCGTTCACCAAGCTCGCCGTCATGCGGGTGAGCCGCCTCGCGTTGGAGCTGCCGCCTGAGACAAAATCTCGGGTGGTTTAGCCCCAGAAAAGCTGCTTAACGGGGCGATCGATTCGGTACGTCAGGCCAGTGGTTAATATTGTCTCCGGTTTTAGCCTAAACCCTAAACCCTAAACCCACACCCCCAGAGCAATAAGCAATTAATCCGGGGTGAACATTAGTGGGCCTGGTTATAACCCACTGAACGGAGACTTATAACATCTTATAACCATGGCTTTTGTGGGTTATCTCAGCATGATTCTTACTGACGTACCTGACGTATCCGATCGCCCTTTCAAGTGGACCTTGGGCCCCTATGATGGCTTGACCTCAAACCATAGGGTTTTGGGACCCCGGGGGTAGGTTGCTGAATGTGACAAAAAATGGGGCAAAAGAAAAAGGTGTACCGCCAAGGTTGGATGCAAGGTTCAATCCGAAGCCATCGGTCAGACCCCTGTCCAAGAAAGTTCCGCTCGCCCCAACAGATCGGAAAAACCAAAAAACATGACGCACAAGTAGGACCTGAGGACCTTACCCATTCCCTTGGACAGGATCTGATTGCTCTGCATATTGAACAACAGCCTGCTCATTAAGAAGTAACACAACTTTCCAACCCACAGAAGTTGGACTCCTGTACTCTGTGCGGTTTCTCGGCTGGTCATCCTGGTCCAAGTCTCGTTTTCCGGATCCACTCGGTTTGGAGTGCCAAAGGTCGCTGGTGGCTTCTGCCGGCACGGATGTGGGCAAGCTGGGGGGCGCGCTGGCGGCGAGGCAGGGAGTTGAAGGCGGTTTCAATTGGTCGGAGGTCGGATGGGTATGTGGCGTGTCTCTTTGCTTGAGGGCACCAATCAACCTACCAACCAACCAACCAGCCGGGATACCCCAGGTTTGGGTGGTTTTGAAGGGCAGCCAACAGGAAAACACAATTTTGGGAGGACCCCCCCCAAAAAAGACGCGCCCATGTGTTAAGAAAGGGGCGAAATTCGGGGACGGAAATTCCACAAAATGGGTGGTTTCTCCTGGGGCTGTTCATCCAATTAAAGTTTAGATTAAATCGGCTCCCTTGCTTGGCTAGGTCCCCCAGTTGTGCCCTTTTACCCTTGTTTTGGGGGAGGGTCCCCCTACTAACATAGACTACAGGGAAAAAAAGAAAGAAAAACACATTGGGTACTCTTATTCCAAAACTGGAGGATGTAGTTGGGCAATTTTGGAATGCTGCTAGCGGTGGAGATGATCCAGGCCCTATTCGAATGGCATCCATCGACAGAAGTCGCCTTGTAGTATCGTCAGCTTTTTCTTTCATGAACAAATTAGTAAATGAGTCAGTCTTTGTTTGGGAGCCCCTTGTTTGGTCATTTCTTCTTTTGGAAACAAAAAGGAACACCCCCTTTTTTTGGGGGGGGTCCCCGAAGAAAAGGACACGCACCCAAATCTGATCCGACGCATCCCACTGAATCCGCAACTCTACGAGACCTCCAAAAGCGGGGAACAAGAAACAATGGGTTTCCAGTAGTTGTGCATTTAAGTACCCACCAATTCACATGGAACCTGACGGTTCCAGGACGACCACCTTCCTTTTGAAGGGCCCCCTGGTTGGCCGTGAGGGTGCGCCAGACCGCCAGACCGCACGCCCGTCAGGCTGCGGCAGGGCTCGGCCTGCAAAGTGCGGGCCTTGGGGCCCAAGGCGCTGGAACAGGCGCTGAGGGCGGTGCTCAGGTGCCGCTACTGGCTGCAGAAGGCCTCGGGGGCTGGGGACATGTTCTTTTTTGGAGAGGGGGGTGGTTCTGTCTTTCGTGCCTTTCCTGATATGTTCCTTTCCTTTCTTGTCTTTTCATCTCTTTTTTGTTTTCTTTCTTGCTGCGCATTTTCTTTGTTGCCTTTTATTTGCTTCTTTCTTCGGTTCTTGCTTTGTAACTTCCACGGAGGGTAATGTCGACTGATGAATAAACACTCCTGTTCGTTAGTAATTAGCAATCGGGTCTTTATTGTTGGTTCTGGGAGAACATGCATCTGGAATGCTGCTGGTACATTGCAATGCATCAAACCGAGTTCCACACGTTTTGGGCAACACAAGCTTGACGCTCGATGCTGAAATTCGGAGGGGAGGGGGGTCTTTTTGGGTGTGCGTTTTGTCCATGAGGGACTCGGTCAATGTAATCGGGTTCCACATGTTTGTGGGCTGCGAAGATCTTGCGGAACAGAGCCTGAACCAAAGTTTCCACTTCCCCGCGTGAATCGCGATGTTGCCGGCATACTTTCAACAATAGGGAGGGCAATGTTGTCCTTTACGCTTTGGATGGCAATCATCAGGTATCAGCAGTTCAGCTTTTGCAGGCCTAAGTCCGGCTAAGATTTGTGTATAACCTGGCGGGATTTTTAACAGGGAGTTGCTTCCGAAAGTGAAGGCTTTGCCAGACATTTCCCTATGATTCCTTTAGAGGGAGCTCCTGATTGAGAACTGGGGGAGTTACTAATCAGGGGCCAAGATTACCCTCAAAGAGACCCTCCTGGTAGTTCTCCCTTTGGGATGGCTTAAACAATTACCTTTTGGTGTCATGTTCGGTGAGTTCTTTTGGTGGTTGATTGAAGGGCAAATCTAGGGGACCCTGTCATGAAACATCATGTCAGTCGTTCTTGGGCGATAAACTCGGGTTTGTCAAGGTACCTTGCAGGATGCATTGGGCCATTCAACGAATCACCCTTACCAGCTGATTTAGAGGATACCCTTGTAAATTTGGCGGCTTGCTGGTTCATCACGGCAGCAAAATAGGAAATTCTCTCAAGGAGATCCTTCGAAGATGAACACTTTGTGGGATCCATGCAAATCTGCAGGGAATATAACGTACGTTATACACTCACTCCAACTAACATGGCTCCTGACAGGTGGGGGAAATTGATCTTTCAGATGCCTCCCCACAGGTGCCATCTTAGTGGGGGGATGGACAACAGTAGTGATCTTGGTTCCCATGTTTGAGACAGCTTGTCGCTTCACATCCTTCGCGTCATTTAAGGTTCTTTGCTTTTGGAGCAACCGCTGCAAGAACACAAGTATCAACCTGTCTTTCCCAGACATTGTCTGGTGCTTGCAGTGTTTTACAAACTTGCCAGTGCATGAAGCACTTGCCCTGTTCACCCGCAGACTTCTGCCAAGCCCAGAACCACCATCTTGCCTCCCCAAAAGCACAAGCATGGAAC